GGCAGTATCTGGTGTGACCACCATGAACATCGATAACAGCTTGGCAGCGGCGGTCCATAGAAGAAAGGAGATGCCGAATGCTCTCTTGAGGAATGTTTTGATACTCTTGCTGAAGTGCTGTGTGCAGTTCTTGTAGTGTCTGAGGTGGCGGATTACACTGGCGCATGCGTCGATCAAGAGTATCCCATAGATGTTCAATGGGGGACAAATCGGGTGATCGAGAAGGCCATGGTAACACCTGAACATTGTTTTACTGGAGGAAATCCTGGCAAACACGTGCAACGTGGGGTCGAGCATTGTCATGCTGGAAAGATCCACCGTTGACGCTGATGAAGGGAACGACGTGACGTTGCAAAATCTCGTCTCTATAGCGAACCCCATTCAATGCACCTGCCACGTGCACAGGAGCTGTCCGGCCATTATGATGGATATATCTGCCCACACCATGACACTTTCACCACCAAATCTATCGACCTGATGTACACAGTTATCGGCGTAACGTTCGTTCCGACGTCTGTATACACCTGAACGTCCATCAGTACGTCTGAGAAGAAACCGAGACTCATCTGAGTACAAAATTACCTTCCATCTTGCCCGCGGCCATCTCACTCGTTGTCTGCACCACTGTAGACGTTCAGTCCGGTAACGTTGTGTCAAGGCGTTACGTTGAACTGATCTTCTGGCAAAAAGTCCGGCTTCCCGTAGCCGATTGCGCACTGTCTTGTCTGAGATTTGGATGTTGCGGTCGTGGTGCGTGAACGAAGATGTCGCAACCGGATGTAGCGATCCTGGGCGGCGGTAGTTACTGTAGGTCGACCTGACTTGGGTATGTCATTAGCAGTCCCAGTATTGTTGTATCGGGTCCATAGGTTTGAGATGGTCTTTCTGGACACGCCGAAGTGCCTAGCCACCTCATGTTGCGATGTCCCTCGTTGTAAATGGCCGTTGTGTCGTGGAGCTTCTGTCAGTCTTGGCATTCTTTTGTCGTCTATAGTGTCTTAAAGCAATGCACATGGAGTACCGTTGATGTGACTTTTTAAAGCCTACAGTCATAGGCTTCAGCTTGGGGTGATACACAATTTCATGATGCATTTCATGTAGGGTGCGTTTCAGCGAATCACTACAAACGTGAGTGTAATATTACCTTATTGTTTAACGTTTCTTTTGTCGTCGGCAACCATTCCTCCACATGTTGGGATTCAGCATGGATTGGTTTGTGTAAAATATGTTCCTAAAATTCAAATTGTTCCTATGTCAAGTTTCTTTTTATGAAGAATATATTACCCCACTGAAACTAGTTGAACCAAAAAGGAAAAAAATGGACGGGTGACCATTGAATTTACTCAAACTGTGTCCAAATACAAATCCTATAACACAATCACGAAGTTCACTTGTTCATTTTCTTTTAATCGTCACATGTAATGGAGAACCATAGACTGGCTGTGAGTGTGCGCTTTCTAAAACGTTAATTGGGAGTAGGTCAATAACAAACGGGGTCAAGGTCAATGGGAAGCGTAGTAAGCTAAACCGACGCAATTTACTGTACAGGGCTGGGTCCATTGAGAATTTCAGGATTCTATGAATTTGCGGTTTGAATCCCCAATTTTCCCTGTTCAGGTCGGCGTGTGAGAACCGTGAGGTGTGGTCTTTATATAAGACCAATCTGTATACAGCGGTGTTAAACCCATCTTATTCACCAAGGCAAAGGATGTTTTGTTTATTTGTTGTTTAACGCCGCACTCATCAAAATTAAAGATATAAACTGCAAATAACCGTGTCTGCACTCAAAGGATGAGGATGAATACGTAGTGAAGGGATAAAATGCTATCCTCTGGGTCAATATCTACACCATCATTTCTAATCCCAAATGAACAATTGCATAATGAGGGACATTTCTCTTTCCACATTCAATAAAAAACATCGTCAAATAGCACAATTGTACAATTTCGACTATACGTTGATCGTCCGATCATGCGCTGTTCTTATTCATTACATACCATTCAATAAAAGTAGGGGATATTGGATTTACAAGATTGATAAAATGCAAATGATGAAGCCAAGGAGGAACCAGATGATGAAGAGAAATTAAGGGAAAATGTGACAATATATACCATTTCTTTGGAAATATTTCATCTGTATGGATATATATATATATATATTACTTTTTCTCATATGCATTGTCATTGGCTAGTGGCATGCTCGCAAAATGGAATATCCCCTACTTTTTTTAATGGTATATTTCGTATCTTTCTATTTTGTCTATGATGAAGTTGAGCGGCAGCCTCCTCGTGGCGGGATGCATCCACACCGTTATTGGACTGACGGGGATGGTAGGGGCTGTACTCCGGTTTGTTGGCCCGCTCACCGTGGTTCCCGCTATAACGCTCATCGGAATCTTCATGGTCAATACATTGGTGAAGTTTATTTCCACACAGTGGGGAGTTGGTCTTTTGTTAGTAGCCTTCTATTGAGTATCTATTGAGCTATTTTTGTGGTCCGTCCTTATTGGTTGGCGTTTCTGAACTCTCCTCTTCACATTATGTGCTCTTTGGATAATTTGCAATCTACACCGATAAAATATCTGTTCCATCACTCTTTTGTTAGCAGTACATTCTTAATTCTGATATCAACAGATATCAAACAGATATCAAGAAAAATATACTATACATTCGCAAAATTATTTCTCACGTAGAGAATAGATAGATAATAGGAATATGTCACAATGCTTTCTGACAAGGTATTTAAGGTTAGGATATTTTCTCGGTGCAAAAATAAGTGAGCAATTGACATTTGTTTGATAAAATATAACAAGTGCGTAGCTAAACTAGTGCTGACCTTATAGTATTTTTTAAATATAGTTGCCAGTGATAAAATATTGGTAACTAACTACCGTCTGTAAAACGATTAATTTTTTCAATTTTTCTGCCATTAGGCTTTTACGATATTGTATAATTCACGATATTGTATCTATTGAAGTGTGCGGTGTGTATTCGTGTATTGCAGGACGACGGTGACCGCCATAGCGTTTTCTCTGTACCCAGCTCCCTACAAAAAACACATTTGCTGGAGGAGGAGGCGAGGATTCTTCATCAAGAAATACCCAATCACAAAGTCTTCTCGGTAAGATCGTGCAACAGGATCCGACTTGATTTACACTTTGTTTACAAAAATGCAACAAAACCTGTGTGTACCAACATGACAGGAACCGTGAAGACCCGGGTTAGAATTGGTCTTCAGCAGCCCTTGCTTGTTAGAGGCGACTAACGGTGGTCATGCTCGCTTACTTGGTTGATGCTTATCAAATATGCTCGTGCTGTTGATCACTTGACTGCCTAATCTAGACTAGGTTATTTCCATATAGCTGGAATATTGCTTGATGTGGCGTCAAACAGCATGCAAACAAACAAATCAACGTGGCCGTTCTTCAGGATATCCTAGTCCAAACGGGTTATTCAAAGGTCTTCGCTATATACTTGGAACTTGCACGACTACGACGAAGACGACCATTCAGTAAACGTCTTCCCCCGCCAAGATTCAGGTTGAAATTGTTCTCAGCAATCCAAACTTGTTGCATCAGGCGACAAACGGGATCTGATGATCAGGATCGCTGTTTCAGTCTAGAGTTACATGGATAAATGCTCATGATGGTAATGACGGTCTAATCCAGACTCGCCACTAAGAAACCACATAGCTGAAATACTCGTTGAGTGAGGCGTTAGACAACAATTAAACCAACAAATGGATTGTCTGGAATAAACGTTTCTGGAACTGCCATTTTCCTCAAAATCGTTCTGTTGAGGTATTATTGGAAATACGTTGTAGTAATAACAAATGCATACAATGTATTTATGGTTCTTGCTTCCCATACAGATACTGATAGCTATGATGGTAGGGTGGATTGTCAGCTTCATCTTGACGGAGACTGGCCTTTTAACATCAGATCCGACCAATCACCAATACCTCGCTAGGACAGACGCCCGCTCACACATTAGTGAAATGGTTCTCTATTCCGCATCCAGGTGATGGAGAAGACTTAACTAAATTGGTACCCGTGAACAACCGGGTTAGAATCGGTCTTCAGCAAGCTATAATTGTCGTAAGACGCGACTAACGGGATCGGATGGCCAGGGTCGCTAGTATGGTTCCAGCATGTCATCGTATTCCAATACCAAGTCGTAGATCAGACTCGATGGTCTTTTCAGATTGTCGTGATATGGATGAAATATTGCTGACTGGGACGACAAACTAAGGCTGGCATTTTTCGTAACATATATGATTAACCTTTAACTGACTGACAATTAAATATACTTTATGTTTCAATTCAATTCACACCTGATTTAATACGGGCTATCACTCACTCAATCACTCATTAACTCACAAGAACACAGTATTGGGTTTAACAATGTCCGACAAAAGGGCTTGATCATGATATAAAATTATTATTTCAGGTCAGTTTGGTCCCCCCGAATATTAACGTAGGCGTTTTCGCTAGTTTCCTCATGGCAACGTTTCTCTCCATTATCGAATCTCTTGGGGATTATTACGCATGCGCTAAGGTGTGCCAAGAGCCACCGCCTCCCTCCCACGCAGTCAACCGGGGTATTTTTATGGAGGGCATCGCTTCTACACTGTTAGGAGCTATGGGAATTGGACACGCGACGTCAACTATTGGGGGGAAACATCGGCGCAATAGGCGAGGTTAAATTGGGTTTAGCGTCGTGCTTGAGAATATTTCGCTCATATGACGTGTATGTGCGGCTGCTTGTACTAGCCCAGACTTAAGCTGGTTTTATAGTGCTAGCTAGCTCACTGAGATACCATGCCGCAGTGAAGCATGAATACCCCACTCAGACACATACTGACTCCGAGCCGACCAGTCCTTGTTGTATCCATTAATGCCGAGCGCCAGGCAGGGACCAACAAGTACCATATTTTAACGTCTTTTGGTATGACTCGGTCGGGAATCGAACCCGCGACCTTCCGCTCTCCGGGCGGACGCTCTAACCAAGATTGGATAGGACGGCACCAAGGAGAATACCAAAGTTGACGATCTGCACCCCACCGAGCGCTGAGTAAGGGATGGCGATGAAGAAGTGCTCTGTGGATGCAAGACACAAAAATTCTTTACTCGCACCAATAATTTATTCTGGTATACGTTCAATGTTCAATTTCACTTTGACTTCTTTCTTTGGCTTGGTGAGGTTCAGAAAACTACAATGCAGAAATACAGACTTGCTAAGTAAATTATTCCTAACACTCAATTATTCCTAACAGTCAAACTACATGACAAGTCTAAGTAAATTACTTCAAATTAACAGTTACAAGATAAATGAATAATATGTACAATTAACAAAACCTTCAAATAATATTACCTTATTATGCCTTGAAATATATTACAATAGCAAACAATGCTACTCACATTTGTGTTCATGCCAACTAAAACAGCTGAATGTCTCCAACATGGAGGCAGTGACAAGCCATGTGCTCTGATGAGGAGCAACACTCACAATAAGGGGAAGTAATCTGTTATGACAATCATGATAATACTTTTTGGAAAACTAATAACAGTTATAGCCAAGCTAGACTTTCTGAACCTCATCTGAACTAAATTTTACAATGAAAATTACTACACTATTTTAGAACTTTGTACTTTGCAACATAAAAATATAACCTTTTGACAACAAATATCTTTAGTGCATGAAATTATAAACTAATTGGAGTGAACATTTTTTCTGCATCAACACACTCGGCCTCTTAAACAACATTGTTTAACAAACTTCTCACAATGCAGAAACAATCTGAAATAACATACAGCCCATAACTATGGCCACATATTCATACACAATGTCAATTTTCACAAAATTTCACACATCAGCATATCTTTCACTCGTCTTTGGAAGTAATAGTACTAGTTTGTGTACAGGTCTGCGCAGTTCTGTACTTTGAGTTTTCAGTATCACACTTCTCACAAAGCCCTGTTTGTCTGGCTCAACTTTGATCACTCGTCCCATGGGCCAGCATGATCTGTGTGCATTTTCATCCTTGATGAGTACAATGTCATCTATTTCAATGTTGCGTTTTGGTGTACTCCATTTTTGTCTCTCTTGTAGGGAATACAGGTATTCTTTCCTCCACCTTGTCCAAAATACATTTGCGAGATACTGAATCCTTCTCCATCTCCGACGCATGTAGACATCATCACGTTGAAATTTACCTTGTGGAGCGATGAAAACGTTGGATTTTATCATGAGCAAATGGTTTGGCGTTAGGGGGTTCAGGTCAGTGGCGTCACTGGAAACTGTGGTGAGTGGACGGGAGTTGACGATGGCTTCTACTTCGCATAGCAGGGTACGGTATGCTTCGTCATCCAAACGGTCTCCGAACTCATACAGCATGGGAGATAGAATCTTTCGTACAGAACCTATCATGCGTTCCCATACCCCACCCATGTGACTGGCTGATGGCGGGTTAAACTTCCAGTCGATGTTGGCTTGCAGTAGGTGAGAGTGGATGCTGTTTTGATCAAGTTCTGCTAGTGCTTCTTTCAATTCTCTGGCAGCTCCAATGAAGTTGGTGCCATTGTCACACCATATTTCTTTGACAGGTCCACGTCGTGCTATAAAGCGGCGCAAGGCATGTATGAATGAGTCTGTGTCCAAAGAGTTGGCCGTTTCGATGTGTATGGCTCTACTCGCTAAACATGTGAACAGTGCTCCATAGCGTTTCATCTGTTTCCTACCTTCTTTGATGGTATGCGGGCCAAAGAAATCTACACCTGAGTATGTAAATGGCGGCGCTGGATTCACTCTGCTGAATGGTAGGTCGGACATCTTCTGTTCACATGGAGGCATTTTCAGTCTTCGACAGGTGACACAATGGGACAGTATGTTTCTCACGGTTGCGTTCGCTCTGATGACCCAATACTTTTCTCGTAGCTTCGAAAGTACATGATTTCGTCCCACATGGCCAAGCTTCTTGTGTATGTCTTGTATGATCAGGCTTGTGACATGATGTTTGCTGGGTAGAAGAATCTGGTGCTTCATTTCATCTGGGATCTGAGACTTGCTGAGTCTGCCACCTACTTTGAGAATTCCATTGTTGATGAATGGATCCAGCTTGTAGACCGAGCTGTGCTTCGGTACTCGGCCTCGTTCAACTGCTGTAAGTACATGGATTTCCTTGTCGAAACTCTTGGACTGCACAAACTTCATGATGATATTCTCTGCACATTCAAGTTTCTCAACTGTGAAAAGCGGTTTATTGTTATATACCCCCGATTCAACTTTACCTTTTCTTTTCCTGATACGAGCTTTGATGTTGTTGATGAGTTGGAGATATATGACTACGCCCCGCTTAAGACGATACCAACTTGAATAATGTTTAATCAAAGTGTCAAGCCCTTCACATTGCATCTTGGTTGGTGATACACACGTAGTTGCAACTGTTTCCTCTACAACAGATTCTGCCGGTCCGGGTTGCTTCAGATTCCATTCTGATTCAGATCTCCAGAGGAATTGTGGTCCTTCAAACCAGTCTGATTGCGCCAGTAGTTGTGCTGTGCTAGCTCCTCTGGATGCTATATCCGCTGGGTTCTCATCAGATTCTACATACTTCCAATCTTTTGGCCCAGAGTAGTCCCTTATCAATCTCACACGATTAGCAACAAATACTGGGTATCTCTTCTTCTCACTGTTGATATAATGGAGGACAGTCGTTGAGTCTGTGAAGTAGGTCACGCTATCAATATCTGTATCAAGTTCTTTCAGCATAAGTTGAGCTATTTGAACTGCGACTGTAGCGGCCGTCAACTCGAGACGTGGAATACTCACAGGTTTCACAGGAGTCAGTCTTGATTTCCCCATTAGAAAAGCAACATGGACATTTTGCTCAGCATCAGAAAGCCGAAGATAAGCTACACAGCCGTACCCTACCGAGCTGGCATCAGAGAACACATGAACCTGTTTAGATACAACTTTACCGAACTCAGCAGGCTTCAGGCATCGTTCAATCTTCAGAGTTTCAAGTATCTTGAGCTCCTTCAACCACTTTTTCCATGAGACTTCATACTTTCCTGGTATATCATCATCCCAGTCCAGATCATTGTTGGCACACAATTCTTGAAGTATCCGCTTAGCGGGAAGAATGATAGGTGTAACGATACCGAGGGGATCATACAGAGATGAAACCGTGGATAGTAGACCACGACGTGTGACTGGTTTCTCAATGAAGTCGGTGGAAAATCCAAATGTGTCTGTATTTACATACCATTTCATCCCAAGAGCACGTTCAATTGGCAGTTCATCATAATCCAGGTCACGGGTTTGAATCTCTTTGGAATGATCACCAACTGGGATTGACTTCAAAACGTTTCTGCTATTTGAAGTGAATTTGGTTAATTTGAAACCCCCATCTGCGCATGCGGCTCTCACGTCATAGATTAGCTTTATAGCTGTCTTGTCATTTTCTACAGATTTTAAACAGTCATCAACGTAAAAGTTCTTTCTGATTACATCAGCTACGAGACTGCCAAACCTTTCTTCTGCCCTGTTGGCTGTGGCTTTCAATGCAAAGTTGGATATGCTGGGAGAGGAGACTGCTCCAAAGATATGTACACCCATTCTATATTCCTGTAAGTCAGCGTTGAGATCACCGTTGGGCCACCACAAAAATCTTAGGCTGTCATGTTGAGTCACTGGCACCTTCACCTGGTAAAACATGGACTCTATGTCTGCCATGAATGCTATCCGTTCAGCTCTGAATCTTGTCAAAACACCTATCAAAGAGTTTGTGAGGTCTGGACCTTGCAGAAGCCTGTCGTTCAATGATGTTCCTTCATACTTGGCGCTGCAGTCGAAAACCACACGGATCTTTGTTGGCTTTTTGGGGTGATAGATTCCATGGTGCGGAAGATACCAAATTCTCTGTGATTCAGCTGACAGTTGACCTTCAGGTATCTTGTACGCGAAGCCCTTTTCAAGGAGATTATCAACAAAACCTACATAATCCTTGTAGTACTGTTCATTCTGGAGCATTTTCTTTCTTTGCCATTTCGCTCTGCTCTGTGCTTGAGTCCTGTTGTTTGCACATAATGTATCATCTCTGAATGGTAATGGAAGCTCATAGTGACCATTGACATATTTCACCTGTTCCTCTGCTGTCTCCATAAATCTCCTATCTTCTCTTGAATAGCCCTTCTCCCCTGGTACTTTGCCGAGATCCTGCTCACTGAAGTCTCGTTCGAAGATCCTAACGATAGTACTCGGAGCTAGACATTCCTTCACAGAACTCTTTTCGCAAAGGATGACTCTGTTGCAGACAAGAGTGTTTCTCTCACTATTAAACTTCACATGTAGAGGCCCGTTAATCGTCCAGCCATGCTTATACAACACTGCGAACGGACCATCCCCATCTGATGGAATCACCTTTTGAGGCTGTAAGGCTGAAGGACAGTTACTTCCAATTAGGAGACCAACTTCAAGTTCGGGTAAAATTCAGGTAATTTACTTGCCATATCTTCAAGATCAGAGAATCGCTCGAGAAACTTTGGATCAGGAATCTGGTTATGATTAACTGGTATTTCCTTTACAAATGTCCTAGGAAGATAGACTGGATGATTGTCCTGATTGTCAGTTACAGTGAGGCCAGTTACAGCTGAGGTTTCTACCATATCTACACCATGCATAGTCTGTAGTTTCAGAGTTGTTGTAGTTGTTGATGCGCCAAGTTGATCTTTGAGTGTCGGTGATGAAGCAACCAGTACTCCCATTGTCTAAGAGTGCATAAGTCTTCACCGCTTTACTGTTACCTTGCTGGCGTACGATGACAGGTAGAATCGACTGTAGCACAGTTTCCACCGAGTCAGACTTGGTACTGTTACAAGAAGATGACACTGTTTCTGTTAAATCCTTTTGGTTGCCGTTGCCTTCTGTTTGATACTTGGTGTCTGTTGAATGTTGACTGCTGTGTCTCATTTGAAAGTTATCGTCATGTAGTGCTGTTGGATGACGTTTTCCACACTTCCTACATATTCTCTTTCTTAGACATCCTTTGACAGCGTGGTTGTATCCGTAGCATCCATAACACATGTGCTTCTCTCTCAAGTAAGTACGTTTGTCGTTCAGTGTCTTTTGCTTGAAGGCTTCACAGTCATCGATGTCATGTGCTTTCCAACAGAAGTGACAGGATACTTTCTTCTTGTGATCAGTGTAGTTCTGTCCGACATTTGTTGCGAAAGTGCTAGACCTTGGTTTGCTAGCAATCAGCTTGTCCTTCCTAAATCCTCTGCTAGGAGTATGTCCACGATTACTTTCAGTTTTACTCATTGCTTCTTTACTGAAAATGGGCTCATTAAGCTGATTTGGCTGCAAAGTCTATGAACTCCACGAGATCTTTAAATCCAATCATCCTGTTGTTCTGGATCCTACACTTAGTAATGTGATCTCGCCACTTGTTCTGGAGGTATTGAGGCAACTTCTGTACTATAGCCTGCAAGTTGGGTGCATGGTTCAGGACGGTCATATGAGATATATTGTTCATAGCATGTGAACATTTGGTGAGAAAGAATGAGAACTGTTTCAGCTTCTGACTATCTTCTTGCCTAATATCTGGCCATGAAAGTACCTGATTGACGTACGCTGTGGAAACCTTGTATGGATCCCCGTATTCGCCAGCCAGCAACTCCCGAGCCTTCATGTATCCCTCCACTGGTGCCATGTACAAACATCCAGCTATCAACTCCTTTGGTTCCCCTCCAGCTGCTGGTCCAGGTAGTACAACCTGTCTATACTGTTTGTGGTGTGAGGAACTATCCTAGCATCAAATGACATCATGAATGAGCTGTATGCTGTTGGGTCACCCCTAAACTTGGGTACTTCAGGTTGTGGAAGAAACATGGCAGTTGTCATCTGTCTGTGGGTTTGCAGTAGCACATCATTCTGAGTAGGCTGCAATGTTTGCTGAACAGATGAATGCATAGTATTCATAGTCAAAGGTGGGTGAACTTGTGTTGAAGGAGTAAAATAACTTGCATTTGGGTTCAGACCTTGAGGCTTGTATTCTGTCTGAGGTTCTTCATGTTTAACTTCGTGTTTAACAGCACCTACACCCTGACTGGGGACATTGAGGTTAAAATCACCCTGTAGCTCCAAGTCTATATCAGCATAAACCTTCTCTCTTGCCCTAGTCTTAGCTATTTCTATGTTCAACTGAAGCTCCTTCATTTTACGTGTTTCCTCCAACATGTCTTTTTCTGCAAGAAGTTCAGCCAATTTTGCCTTTTCCTTAGCTAGAGCCGATCTCGTTGAACTTGTAGTTTTCCTGAAGCTTGGGAACCCCTATTTGACAGATTATCACACTTATCTAACAATAGTCTCTCATTTGAAATCCAACCTTCAACTACCTTTCTAAAGCTAGAAATAGAAATATCCTTTTCTTCATAACGTTTTCTCTCACAATCTCTATCTGCCTCAGAATCAAGCTGCTCATAATAGGAAGCAAAGTAAGTGTGATACTGTTTACACAAATCAATCAACTCCACAAAACAAAACTTCACTGAATGTAAATTGTCACTACCACTGTTCAACATTAATCTGGAAAGTTCATTTCTCTTCTTCGTTATGGCTGAAAGCTGCAATTTGTCGATTCTTTGACCATCGTAACCTTTCAACTTTCCCTTTCTCAGTCAAAGTTTTAACTCTTCCTGACTCTCTGACAGACTTAGCATTAGTGTGGTTAGCCTCGAACTGGTCAACTGGAGATATACCTTCACCAGAAGTCTCTACAGTTTGCACTCTGTGTTCCACATTATCAGATTGTTCATTCAATGTCAAATTAGATTGTTCTTCCTGCAGATAAAACACATCATCCCCTGCCGTTGCCATCATAGCACATTACACGTTACACTTTACTATACTATGATGGTCATTATGACAGGCAACAAATGTTACAAATATTCACTAAGTCCAATTAGGGTAACACTACTGTCATCGTTATTTGGCATTAAAGTTCTGATGGTCACTACGTTCTTCTGTAAGCTCCAACATCATATGGCAATGGTAGAAAATTTTTCTGAACTGATGTGGATGCAAGACACAAAAATTCTTTACTCGCACCAATAATTTATTCTGGTATACGTTCAATGTTCAATTTCACTTTGACTTCTTTCTTTGGCTTGGTGAGGTTCAGAAAACTACAATGCAGAAATACAGACTTGCTAAGTAAATTATTCCTAACACTCAATTATTCCTAACAGTCAAACTACATGACAAGTCTAAGTAAATTACTTCAAATTAACAGTTACAAGATAAATGAATAATATGTACAATTAACAAAACCTTCAAATAATATTACCTTATTATGCCTTGAAATATATTACAATAGCAAACAATGCTACTCACATTTGTGTTCATGCCAACTAAAACAGCTGAATGTCTCCAACATGGAGGCAGTGACAAGCCATGTGCTCTGATGAGGAGCAACACTCACAATAAGGGAAGTAATCTGTTATGACAATCATGATAATACTTTTGGAAAACTAATAACAGTTATAGCCAAGCTAGACTTTCTGAACCTCATCTGAACTAAATTTTACAATGAAAATTACTACACTATTTTAGAACTTTGTAACTTTGCAACATAATGAAATATAACCTTTTGACAACAAATATCTTTAGTGCATGAAATTATAAACTAATTGGTATAAGTCAGAACATTGTTTTTCTGCATCAACAACTGTTGGTTGTTTAACGCCCTACTCAGCAATACTCCAGCTATATGGTGGTCTGTAATTGAGTCTGGACCTTACAATCCAGTGATCTTTCCTGTATGATGCTAAGTATGTTGCCAAAGAACCATTCATTTATCTCTGTTGTAACTCTAGAACCATATTATCAGTAGAGGTCAGTTCAGGCTTAGATTTCCACATACAGTGGATTTCCACATACAGTGCGCATAAAATGTTCTCGTCCAAGTTGCAGGTAGTGAACAAGGTGACAGGGTAATTAGTAGTCATCTCAGTAGTCCTGCAATCATCGAAGGAGGACTCGCCTGTTTCCTTGACAACACGTGTCCAAGTGCGTATAGTGAGTGAGTGAGTGAGTGAGTGAGTGAGTGAGTTTAGTTTTACGTACGTTTAGCAAAACTCCAGCAATATCACGGCGGGGGACACCAGAAATGTGAGTGAGTGAGTGAGTGAGTTTAGTTTTGCGTACGTTTAGCAAAACTCCAGCAATATCACGGCGGGGGACACCAGAAATGTGGGTCATCGAACCGGGGTCTTCGGCGTGACGAGCCAATGCTCTAACCGGTAGGCTACCGTGCGTAAAAGTTGTGGGACAAGATACGCTCACCTTTACTTTAGCATTTTGTATTTCATAGTGAATAAACACATGCTTGTGATATAGTTTTTTGGCAGAGATGTTTTTCGGATGTGAAAATGATTTTGTTCCCTTTATCAAAACCCGGAGACGGTGTGATGTAAAGCAGACGTTTCAAAGTGAGGTAATACAATTTTCGGGCCGAGCCGTAGATGCATCCAGGATACTAGTGGAGATTTATCGAACGTATACCCTGGAGTTTCCGTTACGTATTTTAACGAATCATAGCGCCGGGACTCGTGCTATTCATGTCACTTGTCCACTAGATATATATAAATTAAATATACATGATAATGATTCAACACGTGGTAATTTACATCCCTATGGTTGCGGTCATAGGGGCGTGTCACGCTTAGAAACGACGTTAGAAAGACATATAGGTATATAGACCCTACCCTAGTACTATATAAAGGAAAGGGATGTTACGACGGAACCACCCTCTCCTCAATCAAAGTTGGATTTCACCACGTAAACTATTTTTAAGGCCCCGCCGAGACCTACGGATCGAAAGCGAGATGATTTCACTACAAAATGAGCTATAAATGGTCAGAATCGGATTATTATTTCAAAAGTTATACGCCACGACGTCGACTCACCGAAAACAGCTACCTCCGCAATTTCAAGCCAAAATCACTGATCAGCCAAGACAGCGAAAACTCACCTTTTAAATTCGTTTATTAATTCTAGCCACGTTGACAGCACCTATGTAGGGCTAGATTCGATCGGCAGCGGCATTCCACGGGTCTAAAAGCTTATTGCAACATCTACGAATCATTTCCTCGACAGTAAGCAGGCATTTTCTCCAAAACCATCGGCAATCATACTCATTTGTCGGCCATAGATGGCACGCTGCGCAAATGCAGTGTATGAAATAAGGCCCGTCCGACCGCTCGAGACGGGTTAGATTTCTGACGGACGGTCTAAATTTACAGCTAGCCAGCCCGATGGTCTGGTAAAACTTTTAGATGTTCCATACAACTGAGTAAATTCACCATGTTTGGTCTGGTTAAATTCATTTTTGGCTGGTAACATTTTGAAGTTACCAGCCCTGATGTCTTGCTGGATTTTTGGCTTCAGTTTCCAGTTTTGATGCAGTTCCCAGTCAATGTGATACCACATCACACCATTATGGCGCCACTACGATCATGCATATGCCTTTAACGTCGACTATACTCTCGAAACTTCATTCATTTGGTCTAAAGTAAACGTGAATGTGCAAGAAAACAAAACGAATTGTCCAACGTCTGTTGTTCTCTACACCAAGGGGGCGGTGGGGTAGCCTAGTGGTTAAAGCGTTCGCTCGTCACGCCGAAGGCCCGGGTTTGATTCCCCACATGGGTACACTTTGTGAAGCCCATTTCTGGTGTCCTCCGCCGTGATATTGATGGAATATTGCTAAAAACGGCGTAAAACCATACTCAGTCAGTCTCTACACCAACGAAACCTCTCGTTCAAATGTCATGCAGTATGCGGTGGGACTACACGTGTGCGTCGTGCTGGCAAACTGCATCTGTGCGGACAGTTCCGTACGGCTTGTGCATGCATTTGAAACCTCTTGCAACGGGTCATTCTTCTGTGTGGCTACTCGTGACGTCCGGGTTAGAATTGGTCTTCATTAACCCCTACTTGTCGTAAAAGGCTAACGGGATCGGGTGGTAGGTTTGCTGACTTGGTCGACATCGTATCCCATTTGCGTGGACCCGTGCTCATGATGTTGATCACTGGATTCACTGTACTCGGTTATTCTTAGACCGTCACCATATAGCTGGACTATGGCGGAGCTCGGCGTTAAACAACAAACACTCTATGTGAGCCATTATTCTGACTCATCTGTCCTTAGTTTAAGTTTATGCCCATGGCACCCTGAGCGGCGTCAAACAGCACAAAACGTATCCCCTACTTTTTTTGCACAGTATATATTGTTGCCGATGCACCGTGTCAGTAACCTA